TTTATTATTATTATTATTATTATTAATACTACAGAAAAATTATTTCTCATTAATCATGTGAATTTGATCAATTTAAAACGGTTCCGGTGATCCTAAGTTTCTAACTACTTTAAATTTTGTCTCTTTTTTTTTCATCTCTATTTTGAATTTAAAAGGTTCATTAATGATATTTTAAATTGTTCAAGAAATAAAAGAAATATTAAAAGTCATGCATCACCTAACATTTGATATTAAAGGTTCACTAATGATATTTTAAAAAGAATATTAATTTTTCATTTAATCTTTCCACAATTACAAACCCTTGTGAATAAACTGATCTACTTTTTTTTCCCCCCCTTGAAGATCAATTAAATGATTACAACAACAAAATCACGTTACAGCCGTTATAAATTGATGAAGAAGTTTCTTTTTGTACAATATCTATTCGAGATGACTAGCTCGATAATGTATTTTGTAGCAACTTGAAAGAGTACCATTTTCAGAATTCACAATCACAGCAAAAATTCTTTATGTAAAAGTTAAACGCTTTCAGGAAAGAGAAAAACAAAAACAAAAACAAAACAAAACAAAACGTAAATCAAACTACATAATTTGACAGCATTGAAGCCACAAAAGGGGGGAAAAAAAGAAAGAAAAAAAAAAAACTTAGGATCTCTCCGTAACGTGAGCATAGGATACGATAAATTGGGACACATCCCGGTGAGCTCCTTGGGAAAAAGTTTGAAGGTTCATAATAGTACTAGTATATAACATCAATAAATTTCCTGGATTTTATTATTATTCTTTTCTATTAAAAGGGGGAAAAAAAAAGAAGGAAAAGAGGGAGAATTTGTCACCTAAATTTCCTGCATATTTAGTTCTTTACCCTTTTTAGCTAAAGAGATTTGCTAGGAAGAAAAAAAGAGAAACCCTCTTTTCAGATATGATTGAATTACGTTGTTGTAATCGAACACTGCCATGCTAACGTGACTGATGGTATAAAACTTGTTTTTGTCTATATACGTCATCAAGCATTTACGCTACATAAAAATGCCCAGAAGATCAAAAAATAATTTTATTTTTATTTTTATATATATAAAAAAAACGGGTGAATATCCCCACTCAGAATAATCTATTAAAACGTTGTTTTTTTCCTCAGTACTGAACGAAGTTTCGTGATGCCCAAAAAAAATATATATACATATGAAAAAAAAAGTGGGCATACCACAAATGAACCAAATAGCTAAACTGACTTTATAAAAGGTACCAGAGATGGAGCAATTTTATACATTTGGAGAAGAAAATGGAGAAGTTTCCCTTGAAGCCTTTTTCTTCCCCCCACAATCATCATCTTCTTCTTTTTTTGTTGTTGTTTGGGAAATAACCTATATATTGGATTTTATAGCCCCCTTACCTTTTTTTTTTTTTTTTTTACGGATTGTTTTTGCCAGAGTACCTTCTGTTTTGGCAGTTCTTTTTTCTTTTTTCTTTTTTTTTTCGTCCAAGAGAAAGAAAGAAAGGAAAAAACCGTACTATAAATTTCATAAAAATGGCTCGTGATCAACTTTTGGTGGGGTGCCTGGCAAGTACTCATCAAAAGCTTTTATGGCAATAATATTAGCAAAAATAAAAATTCAAATAAAAAAGGAGGTCAGATTTGTGTATTGATGAATGTGCATTTTGTATCTTATTGTGTGATCTTGTGAAATTCCAATCATGCGGATTCGATATAAAGACAAGAATTTTCCTGCTATATTCTGATTTTTTATTTATTTTCTTTTTTTTACGAATGAGTAAAGTTTTGCCTTTCGGATGTAATAAATATGGTTGCAGTAATTATTGATGGTGTGTGTGTGTGTGTGTGTGGAAGAATATGGACAAATTTATTGATATGGTATGAGAGAAACGCAATGATTAAAGATTACAGAAGTTTGGATTGGAAAACGAACAATTTTTAATTTCTGGCCAGAATTTAACCTAAAATTCGTTATATTAAGGAATAGATACAACAATACTGACCAGTCTTTGATGAGTCAAGGTCCTATGCTTTTATATAGCTTGCTAGCTTCTTTTTCTTTTCTTCTTCTTTTTTTTTTAATCTTTTTTTAATTCTTCCGTTTTGATTATCCTACTAGAACAAAATAATTGTAGGTTCATCAGCTAATTAAAATGTAATCTGCTTGCCGAATGTCATTATCTATTTCCAGACGAATAAAATACTTCTTCTGTCTCAAATTATTATCCAGTTGAATTTTTAATTATGGTACAATTTGAACTAAAAATGAAAAACCAGAGTAGACAATAATTTTGGAACAGAGAGATTTTCAAATTACGAGTATAGCTAATGTCATCACTTGAAACCCTAAAGTGATCACGCTTTCATTATAGTTCTGTTCTTTATTTCTTAGGCGCAAAGAGAAATTAACAATTTACTGCTAAATTCGTCTCCCTATGACCGTGCTTTGGTTTTGACTCTACTGATCATTTCTTATTTATTTATTTTTCAAAAAATTTTCTGATTCAGTTATTTGAGAATGTTACAATTATTATTTTTTCAAAACAAAAAAAAAAAAAAAGAAAAAGTGAGAAGCCTTTTGTATGGTGCTAGTGAAATGTGATTAACCAGCTGAGAAAAATGAAAAAGATAGGGGACCCCAAAGCAAAATGGTCACAGCTTCTCAGTTCGCAGAGGGAAGAAGATCTGAGTGAATTCTGAAAATCAAAAAAAAAAACCCATCAGAATTCATTCAGAAAAGATTCCTTTTAAAAATAAGAAAAAAATAAAAATCGGCAAATGAAAATGAAGTGAATGAATGGAAATTATGAGGCCCAGGCCGGCCGGCAGGCAGGCAGGGCACCGGAGATATTTACCATTCGGGAAAAAAAAAAAAAAAAATAGCCCACCATGCACTGACTGCACACAAGAAGAGTAGAATATAGTGTGGAAAAAAAAACATAATAAAGATCAGAAATCGAATTTTTGGAGAATCGAGCCTGGATTGTACGTATGTAAGTTCCCATGTTAGCTATTTGTTCGTGTGTGCCTCGTGGCCTGGTCGACACATCATACCATCATACCCCTCCCCTGTCTTCTCTTGTCTTTCTACTATTATTTTTCCTCCCTTTTGGTAAAAATGGCTATTTGCATTTTACACAGGAAAAAAAACTACTATCTCATAGTTTATACGATACCTTTATAATATCATAATTTAACCATCTTATAATATAACTAAACAATTATTTTAGATATATTGATCATATCGAGATCTAGAATTGTGGTTGGTCGCCGAAAAATTTAATAACCAAATACGAATTCACATTTTCTGTAAAATAACAGCGTGACTAGATCGAGAAGATCTTTCAAGTATAAGACTGAAATGATACTGCTAATAATTTGTGACTCGTAAAGTTAATTAAGCTACTGAGTACAGTTAGAACAGGTTTGGTTCAGACTCTAAACCTGACTCAACTCATTTATGTGTACGGGGTGAAATACTACTACAACTTTCATAATTTTTCTCCCGCTCAACACATTAATATACTTACACTTTTAATTAGTTCCATTTCTCTCAATTTAACGTACGCATTATACAAGATGGTGACACCATGGTGTGTAGGTCCAGACCCACACAACCCACCTAATCTCCCCACACTACCCAAAATCCAATCCCAAGGCGAAGCCCTTCACGGGGCGGCACGGTATATATATATATATATGAAATATGAAAACACAATAATATTACACTTTTTTTTTTTTGCTTTTATTTTTCCCCCTATGCTTTTTCATATTTTTCTTTTTAACTTTTACTAGTTCACCACAGCCCATCAATCAAGAGTCAAATCAAAATAACAAAAGAAAAGAAAAAAAAAAGGTCCAAAATGCAATTATGGTATAATCATTATTACCTGATGAATGGCTGTAAAGGCATTTAACTTTTCTAGTCCCCCTCTCAAAAGCCCTTTTTGAAGATCTATGTAGGATTCTATTCTATGATCTCTCTTTTTAATTTTAACCTTTTTAACCTTATAGCAACAGCAGTATAAGTACTAGACATGCATTATAATACTCCCAATTGGAGTAGGACAAAATGGATCTTAGTTTAAACCCTCAAAAGAATAACACTAACAAAAAGTTAGATCAAACTGTTAAAATTTATGTATACATTATCATGCATGCAACATTACACTTACCTATAGTATTTCTACTATTTTCTTTCTTTCTTTCTTCTTCTTCTTTTTTCTTTTTTTTTTTGTGTGTAGATTATTAGTAATTGGGATGTTTGCATGAGAGGGACAGAAAGAAAGAGGGAGTGGTCCACTGTGAGTCCATTGGCTGACCGACCCTTAGAGAGAAATCGTGTAAGATAAGAAATGAGAGAGAAAGAGAAAGAGATAGATATATTCTTTTTTTTTTTTTTTTTTCTCTTTTAGCTGGTGTTTTTGTTTGGTTCATTTCTTGGGATGCATTTTCTGCTGAAAAAAAACTTTCTACCAAAGAGAAGAAAGGTAAGAGAAAGGAAGATGTATATATTCATTCATATCTCTCTCTGCTGTAAAACCAAAAGAGAGTACTAAAGGGTAGTAGTATTAGTTAGTAATAGTAGTATATAAGACTATAAAGAAGCTGAAATTTGTTGTACTCATATGCAGCAGCAGCAGCAGCAGTTTAGCAGCTAGCAGCTAGCACTTTCTTTTCAAGTTGTTTTGGTTATATTATATGAGAGGGAGGAGGAGGGGTTCCCTTTGTTTTCAGGGATAAGGTCTTGATTTTGAGCTATTTTCAGCAAATTCTTTGTTTTTTCTGTGTAGGTTTTTCTTTTGGGGGGTGGGTGCATATATATTCATTCCTTTCTTCAGCTGTTCAGTTTGTTCTTTTAGCTTCTTATCTCAGCAGCAAGCCAGCCAGCCAAAACTCCCACTCTCTTTTAGCTAGCTACCTCTTTTCTTGCTTTCTTCTTCCTTCTTCTTCTCTCAGTTCTTTTACATCAGCAAAAAACAGAAAACTGTGTTTTGTCAGAAGGATGATGTCTGATGATGGGCTTGCTTCTGTTCCTCCTTCCTTAAGAGGGTTCATTCAAGATCCAAATTCTAACCTCTCAGCTTCAAACCCTAACAATCCCAACAATCCCAACCCTAATAACCCTAATTCTAATGCTGCTAATAAGAGGAAGAGAAATCTCCCTGGAACTCCAGGCAAGTCATTTTTTATATTCTATATACCTTTATAACTGTATACTTCCTCCGTCTTGAAATTATTGTCCAGTTTGGATTTGTACGAATTGAACTAAAAGTGAAAAATCTAAACTGGATAATAATTTCCGGACGGAGGGAATATCTTGTTTCTTCTTTTTGTTTCATTACTTGTTGGAGGCTTTAATGAATCTTTTGATTTTTTGAAGTGCAGATCCAGATGCAGAAGTGATAGCACTGTCACCAAAGTCATTGATGGCCACAAATCGGTTCATATGTGAAATATGCAACAAGGGTTTTCAGAGGGACCAGAATTTGCAGCTGCACAGAAGAGGCCATAATTTGCCATGGAAGCTGAAGCAAAGGACTAACAAAGAAGTGAAGAAGAAAGTGTATATTTGTCCAGAGAAGACATGTGTTCATCATGACCCTTCCAGAGCACTTGGTGACCTCACTGGCATCAAGAAGCATTTCAGCAGGAAACATGGTGAGAAGAAATGGAAGTGCGAAAAGTGTTCCAAGAAATATGCTGTTCAATCCGATTGGAAAGCTCATAGTAAGATTTGTGGTACTCGAGAGTATAAATGTGACTGTGGAACTCTCTTCTCCAGGTATGATTAATTTATGATGATTCCAGACCATGAAAAAGAAAAAAAAAAAAAAAACATTCCCTTCTCAAATTTTTATTGCAAAAAACCATGTACTAGGTAGAAGTACTAGTACTTATGTTACATGAATTTATGATACTAAATGATTAGTTTATTTATGGAGGAAGAATGTATTCAATGTAACTCAAAAGTAATAAATGCAGTACATATTATCTTGTTCGCGAAAAATAATTCACTTTATTGAACTGTGATATGATGACGAGTACCTAGTATTAATGCTTGTTTTTACACATTTTTACACAGAAAAGACAGCTTCATCACACATCGAGCATTCTGTGATGCACTAGCTGAAGAGAGTGCAAGATTCACCACAGTTCCACCACCAAATCTGAATTTCAGAAATGAATTGTTCAATGGAGGATTAAGCAATCTTGCAGCAGGAAATCCACAATTTCCTGGAGGATTAATCGACCCTTTGGGAAGCACTACTCATCATCACCAGCTGAATTTGAATGGGCAGAAACCGAGACTTCCATTATGGTTGGACAATGCAAATCCAGGAGTAGGTAATAATAATAATTCAAATAATGCTTTCTTAGCATCAAGCTCATCAAGCCTTCCTGATTTAGTCCAGATGAATACTCCAACAAGTATATTGGGACTTTCCTCACAGAACCAATGGGGATCTTTTCCAAGTCCTAATAATCCTTCTCCATCTGGGCTGCAAAGGGTGCTCAAAGAGGAAGAAGAGAACAGAGGAGATTTGTCGAATTCGATTAGTTCGTTGTATTATAACAGCAACCAAAGCCAGCATCATGAAGCTGGTGCGACTCCAGCTCCAATGTCAGCAACAGCATTGTTGCAGAAAGCAGCGCAGATGGGATCAACTAGAAGTAATCCATCACTGTTTGGGACTACTGGATTTGGGCTAATGAGTTCATCTTTATCAAGTCTTTCAAGCTTCAACTCTATGAACAACAACCAACAAACCAGAAATGATCAGCATCAGATTCAGAATTTTGGGTCAGTTACATCTTCATCAACAGTAACAACTACTAATCCAGGAGATGGGCTGTTGTTAGGGAACATGAACACAAACAGTTTGATGGGAAATGTAAGAAATAATCCAGCAGCTCCTAATGCAAAATCAGGAGGGAACAATAATGGTATTGATCAAGGAGGTGGTGAAGGGAGTTTGACAAGAGATTTCCTTGGAGTTGGAGGGAATCATGATCATCATCAGATTCAAAACAGACCCTTTTTGCAACAGAGTGAGTTAGTCAAGTTTGCTTCATCAATGAGCAATTCAGCAATGGAGTTTGCAAACCACTGAACAAGAGAGGGGAAAAAAAGGTCAAATTTTTATTTTATTTTATTTTTTTTTTGGTTACTTGGCTAATGATACTAGCTAGTATTAATTATACTTCTCTTCATTTCAAACTCCTGGGAAAAACAAAAAAAAAATATCAAACACCACATTGACCACTCATCACATTCACATCTTCTTCTTGATAAAAGGAGAGAGAGAGGAAGAGAAAAAGAGAGGATCTTGTGAGTTGTCAGAAGGAAGATGATCAGGATTGAGGGAAAGTAGGTCCCAAGACTGAAACATTGGAAGGGACTGGACAAAAAAGAGAGAGACTTGGCAACTAGAAAAGGGAAAGGAGAGATTGATATATACATACATATTAACATGATGATCATCATTCAACACTGCATGCAATACAGTCACAGAAGACATTTTCCTTTCCTACTTCCCTAAAATGGAGAGTCCTTTTTGGACCACTTTTTTTGAAGGAGAGAAAATAATGCTTTGGTTTTGGGGTCAGTCCTGGCTGCTATGTAGAACAAGCCCCTGCCTACAAACACTATGAATGTTGGGGAGTTTGAAATTTAATTTTCATGTTTCTGAAATTCTGATCATCATGGAGTTTTGGAGGGTTTTGATCTTTCTGTATTTATTGAGCAAATTTCTTTTGTCATAATTATGAGAGGTGTTGGTTTTTGCCAAAAGAAAACAATGTGGTAGCCACCAACCTGCTTTTGAACTCAATTGTATGTTAGCTACATATATATATATATTGATGATCAATTAATTTAAATTTTTCCTTCATACATGTTTTTTTTGGCATTTTGCTTCAGTCCATATTCCTTTTATCTTTCAGCTAGCTTTTTACCAAATCTGTTTATGGATGGAACTGTTAGTGGAGATATATATAGGTTAGATGATACTTTTTGGAAACAGCTACAAGTTAAAATACTCTCTAAAATGTCATCATATGTATGTGTCTATATACACATCATTATTTCCTTTGTTTTAATTTATTTGTATTTATGTGCTAATTTTTTTTATTTTTTTTTGGTTGGTTTACTCTTTAAGAAAAGTGCTATATAGTTACATAATACTTGCATCGCATTGCCCCTAGCTACTTATTTATGCAAAATCTTTTTGACCAAAACTATTCATCATAGCTATTCAATCTTAATGACTTCTGGTGAAGGCCAAAACTAAAATCAAACCTATTTAAAATTTGTCTGGTTGAGGAGTAAGTAATAAACTGCTAGTTCTAGAATCATGGTTAGTAAAAAACTAACTATTGTTTCTAAAAAGAACACTAATTAAGTAATTATAAATTTCAAACACATATATGCATAGTTTACCAACCATTCAATGAAAGAATATGGGAAGGCATCTCTTACACAAAATGCAAAATGAAAATGACAGGGGGAGATGTGGATTTTTGATTAGTTATGGTCGGCAAAACATACCTTTTTCTCGGCTTTTGATGCAAACCAAAAATTGATTAAAACCTTGACCACACATAATAATGCTATAAAACTCTCTTATCCAAAGAAAAATTGAATTTTCAGAAAGAATAGGCAAATATATTTTCCCTATAATGAAAAAAGAAAATTTAATTTTCAGAAAGAATAGGCAAAAATATCTTCCCTATAATGAAAAAAGAAAATTTAATTCTCACAAATGTCTGCAAATTGATATATTTTCATTGATTTCAAATTAGGAAAAAAAAAATTTAAAAAAAAAGAGCACACTTCTCTCACTTGCTGGTAAGGTCAACATTTCAGTCTCTTGCTGTCCGAACAGAGAAAATCAATCTGAAAAAATAGAATAAAAAAGAAAAAAAAATAGTAATATATGTTGACAGCCACAGACACTTGTCTTGAGCGTTGGCTGCATGCAAATGTGACCCATTTTGATACCCATCTTTTTCCCAACCTATGCTTACACCACCCTTCAGCAGCTCCGTTATCGTATGTTTATTATAGTCTTTCCGTCCCATAATTATTGTTTAATTTGATTTTTTATTTTTAATACAGATTGAATTAAAACTGAAATGTGAAACCAGACAATAATTTTAAGATAGACGGAGTACATAATATATTTTACGTCCCAAAATTAGAATATTGTTTTAAATAGAAAGGGTTGAATGGATGTATACTGATAAGAGATGGCGTTAGCTCTCTCCCTCAATATCTCCTCGTATAAATAAACTGGCAAGTAGTGCTAAAGACAGGAATCGTACATTATAAAAATTTGAATGAATATGTAAAACAGATATATATACTACATGACGAGTTGAAGGAAAAAAAAAAAAACTAGGGCTATATGGAATTTAGAATAATCTTGAGATATGTGAAGCAGTTTTAACAATTAAATAAATAATTTCGCATAACTTGGAAACAGTAAATTAACGAATAGGTACGTAGGGTTTCTGTACATGGTCGTGCATGAACTGGCCAGTCAATCAGTATTTATTTTTTTTTTCCCTCTTTTGCAACATTTTCGAGCGAGCACTCTTTAATTTCATTTTATCTTTTCCCACAATAAGGGTTTGTCTTATAAATCAATAAATCAAGATAAAATAGTTCAAATTTCATCGCAAGCTTGACGTGAGGTACGATATAGGTTTTGCCTAGATTTAGAAAGGGAAAAAAATGAAAAAAGAAAAGAAAAAGAGGAGTTACTTAATTAACAACATTGGACATTGGTCCATATATGGACGTAGTGTTTATATTCAAACAATAAAATCACACTAAGAAGCTCATCAAGTATAGTTCATCTCTCGGCCAGTTCTTTCCTTCATCGAGATATCTACAATTGAGCGATAAAAATAAATATTTGTAAGTAGACGGTGACTACCTTACAAACATGTAAGATAAGAAATTATTTTTATTAATATTAATTCCTTGGATTTTTTTAACAAACACATTAAAAAGGGTGTAAAAGAATCTAGGCCACTTTTGCATTTCATTTTTTGTGATAGAACCAGCCATCTTTTATATGCCTCGAGCCCACATTTTTAATCAACCCTGTTTTTATATTTCATTTTCTCACTAGTTCGAGCCCATTGAAACATTCGTTCCAGACCCATTATGGAAATCGACATTGGTTTGGTTTTGCCCATTTGAAAATTTGAGTGACATGAAGGTGACGTGCGGTAGACAAAATTCAACCCGTTAACCAAGCAGATGATTCTCCAGCAAAGTTTTAATTGATTTTTCTGACGGAGGCATAAACCTTTGAAAAAAGAAAAAGAAAAACAGCAGGTAAGACGTAAGTTATCCCTATAACATTCATGCTCAAGTCTGTTTTCACTCTCTTCATAGAGCTTCATTAGAGTAATACAAATCAGTGAGATCTTACGTCACTAATAAAAAAATAATTTGTTACAAAATTTACTTCTCGACACTGATAAGCTTTACGAATTAGTCTCTTTGTAACGTTCATATTTTCATTTTGATATCGCCATTTAAAACTAAGAATTGGTTGTGAATAGGTCACTGTCATCCCTAACTTGTAACTCAAAAAGAATAATAATTTTGTAACTAGCCATTACTCCCCTATAGAGGAAGCTATTCATACCCCGCTCAACACGATCCATTCTCTAGGGTATTTGGTATACAACAATGTTAGAATACCATACTGCACGAGTTTGAGGCTCTAGCTAAGAATAGTAATGTCAGATGTATAATTTGGTGACAAAATTGTTGTGACTTTCTGTTAATTAATTATGGATAGATGTTTTCTGATATATATGAATAAGAAAAAGCTAAATTTTTATTCTAAATAAAAAGCATTTTGCCTCTTTCCCACATATATATATATGTATATATATATATATATATATATTAAGGATAAAATATTCAACACATTAGTTTACAATTGTCGCCTATGGAAAATACCCAAAAGGCACATAAGGCCATTTCTGACTCTGTAGCGTACCCGGTGTTGAAGGCAAAACCAGACAACCATTCACTTTAATTTCTTCAATGTTGTCCCAAAAAAGAAAAAGAAAAAGAGAAAAAAGAAAGTATCTTTCGAACAAAAGAAAGGGACAAAATAATTCCCCTGACATTTTTTTTTTCTTTTCATTAAACGAGAAGAAAAAAAATTTCAGAATCACAACATATAATTAGTAATTTAATTAGAAAACTAGCTAAGACCACATATTAGAGAAAATACTGATTTTGATGAATCAGTTTTGCTCTCTTTGCCTTATCATAAGGATCAAATAAAATCATAATTATAAGAAACCAATCAGTTTCATATACTCTCAATCTCTCAGAGTGTAACTAAATTATCATCTTATTTGATAAAAAAAAAATAAAAAATGGTAAGAATCATTTTGGTACGAGACTACGAGAGTATATATGTAAGTAATTAAAATGACTGCAAAACTAAAGGAAATACCGCGCATTCACGGGATCTACAAGCAAAGTAGTACAATCATTATCGATTTACCTTGTAGATCCAGAAACTTTGAGATTTCTTACGTAACAGAAAGATCATAATCACCTAAATCGTCATCACAACTACTCCCTCCGTCCCATAATAATTGTCCAGTTTGAGTTTTCATTTTTAGTTCAAATTGTACTAAAAATGAAATCTCAAATTGGACAATAATTTTGAGATGGATGGAGTATAAGTTAGTTGTCTGGAGAGAGCAAATTAAGTACTTTTCATGTAGATCCTCTTGGCCATTTTTCCTTGAAATGAAGCATGTCAACTGGATTATTACTCTACGTACATTGCACCATTTAGAACTAAATTCAGTTCTATATTAGAACTTATATTCGGAACAAAGAATTTTTGTTTCGGTGTTCATACTAATGACTTACAAGTTACAATCCTAATAAACCCCCCAAAATAAATTTTTTTTTTTTTTTGAGAAAGCAAAAAAAAAAAAAAATTGTTGTTAGCTACTTATACACACCCTCGTGCTAAAAATATTTGTCACCCCTTTTACAATCCATATCAAACTTAACACGTTTTTTTTTTTTTTTTAATTCTCATCCCTTTTAGGCTTTTAGTCTTTTATTATAAGATTCATATCAAAAGTTACTCTCTTTTTTACATATATATCAAAACGGTTTAGACTAATCGACATCCAATCGATGAAATGTAACTTCTCTAATTACCATCATATGGTTTAATTTACGTTTTGTTTTCCTTTAAGTTGAGGTTGATATATTTATCTCTCTGCATTTTTATATTTACTTCAATACACGATAAACCAATAGACGTATTAATAGAAACAGGATTACATTTTGCACCAAAAAGAAAAAAATAAAATGAATGTAAACTTCTCATATAAAACATAAAATGGACATGTTACATGAAATTACACTGGAAAAAAAAAAGAAGATACAAATAAATCTAGCGTATCAAATAATGGTCGTATGACTATGAATTTTAACAAAGAAGACGACAATTTTTAATCTGAGATTATTTAGAACACACCATCTCTTCATCTCGGCCGTTGAATCAGATACTTGATCACATCACATGACGCCACGTACTCAATCAAAAATTTGATCCCACCGATGAGATCCAATCGCAACCGTCGATCGATATAACACGTAAGTAAAAGTCCCTCACGACCAAAATGTGGCCAAGAATAATATTCCCGCTCCTAAACAAGCGACCATGCCATGCAAAGCCGCGTCAGCCGCCGCCCCCGACGAATCGGCGGCCGGAGCGTCATCGCCAGATTCCGGACCACCGGAGGGCTTCTTTTTCTTGGGCAGGGCCGACAATGGGGCCGGAGCTTCGGCCGGAGACGGAGCCCCGAACAAACTCAGAGGAAGAAGCACCTTATCCACCTGATAAACCGCCAGCTGGCCGTCGGTATAAATCGCGTTATCTACCGTGGCGTCATCGACTCCGGTCGACACGTTCACTTGGTTGCCGGAAGTCGTCACGTTCAGAGGGAACCGGGCGGACACGTCACCGGCTTGAGTCCGAACCGGGTTGCTCACGGTTTGGAACTGTGACATGGAGAGATACGAGGGAATGACGTGGAATTGCATGAGTTGGACTTTTTGCTGATCGGTCAACGAGTTCAGCGTGCCGGCTTTCAGGCTCGAGAACGCGTTGTCGGTCGGGGCTAATACGGTCATCCCATTTTGCGAGTTGTTGAGTTGGTTGTTGATCTGATCACTCATGCTGGTGACTTTCATTAGCCGGATGAATGTGGTGAACTGGCCGGCTTTTTCGAGGATTTTGGTTATGTTAGTCGGACCGGCTGGACCGGGTGAGGGCGCTACTTGAGCTTGGATTTCGGTTTGGCATTGGAAGAGAGCAATTATCACTAGTAATGATAATGGAAATGAAACTTGCTTCATCATGTTTTAGGTGCTTTCTTTTTTCTTCTCTCTTTGGGGAAACCCAAGCTAGAGCCCTATTAATTTTCAATATATGAATGTAGAGAAAAGAAAAGGGATGATTTTGTTGAAGAAGAGTGATGCATGGGTAGGGTTTTTATATGGGAAGGAAGGAAGGAAGAAAAGATATGAAATATGGTTGGTAAGTTGGAGCTTTATTAGTTAGGAACCAATAACTTAATTGGCTAAGCATAAATATGATCAATTAGAATGTTGGTAAGAAGTTACATAATATAAAATATAAGAAAGGTGCGGAATGGATGTGTTTTTAGGGCCAGAAACTGTAAAGTTTGCTTAGAAATGGAGGAAAAACAGAAGGATATCAACTCATGAACTATCAAGTATAGGGGGTCATGTGGTCAAGAAAGGTTTCTTTTTTAATTGATTGCTTCAATCTCACTTGTATTATACTGTGCATGAGATTTGCAATTATGAGCCTGAAACTTCAGAATAAAGTTATCTACCTCCAGTTCCTCCACTCTATACCCCTCAAGTCGATCTAGGTTATCTTCAAATTGAATGCTTTTTGTTTCACTATGTTTGGACTAGAATTTTAGATGAACCGCGGCCTATAATTCGTTGCTTTTGATTTGTCCTGATACAGTATTGTCAGTCTAGCATATCCCCACAACGTAATTATTTAATTATATCGGATTTATGCCTTCTGCATTGGCTAAAAAACAAAGTTGTGTCAACCGAGCACAATTGCGATTGATCATTTATATACTGGGATAAAAACTTGGTACACATAGACGGAGTAGCTAGTGAACGAAGCGATATCCATACGTGCGATTGATAAATGTTGACTTCAATTTGGGTACATATATAGTACTTTTAAGTTTTAAGTCAGCTAGTTGGGTACTTGGGGATTGCACAATTCCATTATGACTAATGCAATAATTACACATTACATGAACGTGTGATAGTTTTTGCCTAAATTTTACCTTGTCCCTGTAATCCAGTTTGTTACATTACTTAACACCAGAGATCCATTATTAAAATGGGACGAAGCAAAAACTAAACTATTGAATTCTACCAACTTTTAAGACGTTTTACCTCAATTGTACCCTGCAACGGAATTTTGGTTAGACAGTTGCACCTTATTCAGTTGATTATGCATGGTTTCCTAGTTTAGTGTTGTACTGTTGATTAGGAGGTCGTAGCCATTGCAACAATGTTATGCACATGGAATGAAGTTCAGAGAATTCGGATATCTATGTTCATAGTTAGACTGGGTAGAAATTATAGAATCTCAGGTTCAAATTAGTGACCTAAAAGGAATCCTGTTCTAATGACCTAAATATCAATGGAAGGCTTACACTATCTGTGGCAACCGAGGCCGAAAATTTTCCCTCCTACCGATCCATTCTAACTCAACAATTGCTGCAATCTCCAGTTTAAATGAAAAAATGTCTAAATCACTGCTCATACTTTGTTGATCAACTGTAAATCAGCCAACCAAGATGCTACGATCCAATCAATTCTTGCAAGCTCAATCATCATCAGCTGGCAAGTCCGCCAAAGCATCCTCGGCTTTAACTTTCTCCGGAACAATATCTAAACACATACAAAGTAGTTATGCAACCAAAAAGACAGAGATAACTGAAGCCTAGTAGGTTGACTAAAAAGTATTGAAAGATACCCGACAGAAAGCTGAATCTCTCCCTTTTTGACACGACTGAAGCTGAAATGAACAAACAAGCAATATCAGAGCTAGATATCACATGCTTATGCCACCGCCAGATGCATCAAAATGGATCAGAAGTCAAGACTTGAGGCTTTAAACTAGTAATAATTTGAAAACCAAAGAGTCCATAATCTAATAAAGGAAAAGTGAGCTTATCAATCATAGACGTACTTTGATTTGCATAGTTCAGAAGCCGACCAATTGAACAAGACTAACATTCTATGAGAGCTCCAAAAGAAAAAAATGCATACTCTCAAATAAGGGGTCAGGAACTGATGACATCAGTAGAATCTCAAAAACATATCTGACTTCTTACCAGTATTCAAGAGCTTAAAGAATTATTAATATTCAGAAAGCTAACAAGTTATTTGGTGCATGAAAGATTGGATGACAGAAGAGAAAAAAAAGCTCCATTATACCAAAATCTACATGAAAGATCCTAGAATTAACAGTTATGATTTCGACCAATATTTATCAACTACCTGCAATCAGAATCATTCTAAAACCAAGCTTTACAGAAAAGTTAAAAGATCTCAAGTATTTACAAATATTCAGAAAAAAGCATAAAAAGGTATTCATGGCATTTAGTACTTGAATAATATCTAAAATTCTAAAGTGACCATAAGATTCAATAACAAAAGAGCTTACCTAGATGGTCATAAGAAATCTGACTTTTACGATCAAGATAAGCACTTGCATAAGCTTCCCTGCTGTAGAGCTCGAGAAATTTCTCCTGAAGCAGCCAGAACATGTACAAAATGAGACATGAACGTGGAATAGCATCCCAGAGACTTACATATGACACACGTTAACTATAACAACCCGTAAATTAAAGAGATGGGTATCCCTTTTAGCTTTCCATTAATTATGGTACCAACTATTCAAGCAAACGATGGTTCTCATGTAACCAAATCCTGGCATTTCAGGAACAGAATGCAAATGACTAGCCTTACATGTATGGCACTGAGCCCAACACTTCATACTACAGCTTACAGTCAAAGCCAAAAAAGCATAGCTCCATCGCTTTACTAACTGTATCCACTCAATGAAGAATACCATATTACAAATCGAAGGGCGTCTTCATTTACATCACTTGTTTCTTTATCTCCTGGTCACCACATACTGAGGAAACCTTGAAGCCCGTATTGTTTTACCTCTCATTAAATGAAACAAGAAGACGCCTATAGTTCAAATTACTATCTACCTAATAACCAAAACTATGGCATGGAAAAACAATCGTCGCTTAGTGTTGCAAAAGGTCCAATTTTCAGCTTTCCTAAGATATCATACTCTAGAACAACTATCCTTAAGAGTATGCCCAGTAGAACGGTGAGCAAGAGGAACTCTTACTCTGTATATGCTAGTCATGACCCCTAGATCTAACTGACGTGTATCAACAACACACAATAGTTAATCTACCAGATGGTTTCCACCCATTGAAAACAGTTTTTATAAACGTCTAACTCAATCTTCTGATATCCGCGCTCTAGACTATATGCACCAAAACCTATGTTTCAAAAAACTAATGACAAATGCCATAGCAAATAAAAAAAAAATGCATCAGAAAACTTCCATACATATGAAACTAACATAAAAATGCCATTACAAATACTCTTTCAAAAGCATCCGTAGCTCTCCACACTAAAACTATTACATATGACCATACGGCATTTTCCGAATCATAATAAACTTAGTCATCAAGGATCCAAACTGTCTAAAATCTTACATGCTATTGCTATCTAAGAAAAAAGGATTCAATGTAATTACGAGGAACCAACCAAAACCAACAGCAAGTACGGATTACCAGCATGAGAATACAACAGAAAAACGGAATTCAATCAGTAAATACATTCCCGAAACAGCACTCATCTCCATTGCATTTTGTAACTTCAGCAACAACTAATTGATGAACCAAACAACATTTTCAAACTATTAAAAAGAGTTCATAATGATATGAATCAAATACTTCACACACAAATGAATCAATTGCAAACATTCACGCGACATAACAAAAAACTGATAAAACCACAGTAAGAACCCTAAGTATCAAATTTGCAAAGCATTGCGGAACAGAATCTGAAATTAAGAGCAATCCTATTTGAGCGCTTACCGAAGCTTTATTGGTCAAGAAAATAGCCTCCTGAGAAAGCTTCGAACAGCCTTCCAGGTCCTTCATGATTCTATAAATTCTACTCATGGGAAACTTACAGGCCGTCCCTTCTTCCCTATCTTCCCTATCGCTCTCCTCTTCGACCACTGCTTTCTTCTTCGAATTATTCCCATTGATCGCTTTCTTTCCCCTGCTAACTTTACCATTACTTACCCTCTTATCTAATTTTTCTCCATTATTCTTCTTCGATTTCTTTTCAGCTTGTTTCCGTTCCAAAAGCAACCTAATTTCTTCAGCGTCGCTATCCTGGCTTCGCTCCGCCGATGAATGCTCACTACCCTCCTCTGCAGCGTTGCTAATTTCTTCATCATCGCTTTCCTGCCGTTGCTCCGCCGATGAATTGTCACTACCCTCCTCCGCCGCGGCGTTACTAGTTTCTTCATCACTGTCCCGGCGTTGCTCCGCCGATGAATCCTCACTGCCTTCCTCAGCACCGCTGCTAATTTCTTCCTCGCCGCTATCCCGGCGTTCCTCCGCCGACGAATGCTCACTACCTTCTCCGGCAGCTTCAGACCTCGATTCCGACGACGGGAACGAAGAGGAGGACGATGAGGTTTCCGCACTCACAACCTCCATACCCGTATCATCACTGTCGTCGTCTCCGCCGCTCGCTTCCTCCCGGACCTTCTTCCGGGCTGGTGGGCTTTCGGGTTTCGACAATTTTTTGCTCCGGGGTTTATCTGGCACTCTCCGATTCCCCGCCATGAGTGTTTGACTTATTCAGCGAGTAAAAGAAAACTATTTACTCTGAATCTAATGAAGATTCTTGAGTCTCAATCTAATGACGATTTAAGCCCACTCTGAAGACTAACAAGGATTCAATTTTGGAGAATAACAGAATTTCAGCGGTAATGTGACTGTAAAGAGGATTATAGCTCTGCGCAGGGGAAAAGGCAAAGAAAAAAAGGGGGAAATTTGTTCAGAATTTTGTAGCATAAAGAGAGAATTTGTAGCATATAGAGATCGTGTTAAAACATTTGCTTCACAACGGTTTGAACTTTTACAAAGAGACAAAGATACCTATAAATTTCACTAATATTGCAAAATACCCCCAAAATGTTTACAATATTACATAGCCAGGCACGACGAAACTCTCTTGTCTCCATTCTCTAAGAGCAACAACAATGCGTAGTCATTGGTATAAACATTCGAGTCAATTATGCTTATTTTCAACTCTCCCCCACTGGGGAGCTTTGGTTTGTCTGTCTGCGTGGGTGCATAAATTATTTCACTTTTCTTTACTCTGAAGTTATGTTTTGAAAACCAGACCGGAAGGCGAACCGGCAACCTAACTGGTTCGCTAGTTTACTGGTTTAACCGGTTTGAATCGGTTAACAAAACCGGTCAAAACCTGCCATAAAAAATATTAAAAAAATAAATTATTTTCAAAATTTTAAAAATTCGATCCAACCGATATCGATTTCCGGTCGAACTAAGGTTTTGTCCAAGATTGACCGAATTTGACCGGTTTTTAGGTTTGCTGGTTATTAACTTAAACTAGACCGGGAAGGTCTCCAATTCTCGGTTGAACCGGTTCGACCGCCCAATCCAGTCTGATTTTCAAAACATAGTTCTGAAATGGGGTCAAACTTAGCATTGTGCCTAGTAATTTAAATTTCTAGGATCTGTTTCTTATAATAAGTGGTAAAACCATGGGAGATAATGGTTGAATTGATGAGTGAAGTCGAGTTGTTGATGTGGTGAATCTGGGACCACAAAGTGTAGGATGACAAAGACGTACGAATCGACAACGCCTTTGTCATCCTACACTTTCACCGGAAATCACTACGGCAAATCGAGAGAAATCCCTCCCTCCCTTCTTTTCTCTTTTTCGCCCTCATGTTACTACACAGAAATGTAAAAAAGGGATCCTATCAACTTATTTGTTCAGAAATAGAATAACAAGTCAATGAGATTAGTCTTAGTTCATCGTCGAGAAAGGAATTAAGATTTCTATCTAAGTTCAACTTAAATTTATCTCATTTCTTTTCGGATCCTAAAATTAAAGTATGAATTAGTTATCTTTTTTCTAATAATTAAAACATAATCTTACATTAAAATAGGAAAACAAACATCATTTCTCTTAGTAAGGACAATAGTTTGTACATTACACCTCAAGTAAAGAATGCTAAGTAACTTAGCACATAGATTTTGTATATAATATATACTCACTCTTTTGGTCCACAAAAATAATCTATATTATAATTTGTGAATACTACTCTTTTTGGGACGGAGCAAGTAACAAAGTATTATTACGAAAAATTTATGTAGTAGATTCGCTCAATTTACATTTCCAGTGCCGTTAGTGATCATATTTAAGATTAAAAATTTACTATATTTATTTTACCCGCTAAATAAGGACTCTCTCTCCCTCTCTCTTTTTGGTGTAATAGACACTTAATGTATGAAGTCTTCGTTTTGACCGACGTGAGCAGGATAGTTTTTTTTGAAAGGCATTACAGTAAACAATCCATAAATTAATACTTTATAAATTAATAAACTCTATTATGATTAAATAATATGTTTTCTGGTCCCAAATCGAAACAAGTATAAAATTCAAACAAAATTGATAAATTAATAAAATTAGTTTTTTTTAAAAAAAATTCTATATAAATGCAAGTCCCCTAAAAATCATAAATGAATAATGTGAAAAAACTAAAAAGATATAAGAAGGTACGAGGCTACTGAATTTGTTTTTTCTTGAAATTTGCGTTTCTCAATAAAGTTTTTTTTTTTTTTTAAAGATCACTAGAAATGGTCCAGCACTAATTGAGACACAAAGTTAGGAGGGTTACTCCATAAAGTTTCAATGTATTCAGACGGATGATGATATTTGAAAACCCTAACTTCCGGCAAAGTAACAAGCTTTCTCGAAAAGCTTGGGTTTCAGCAAGATCAGAATCTAACACCTTAAGGAATTAACGTACTAAACCGTGTAGGGAGTGACCATCAGGCGAACATATAAACAGTCCAGCACCAGCGCAAGCTTTTGATGAGGAGATAGCTCCGTCAAAAAAGACTTGGATAGCCGAATCATCAGGTTGAAGAACAGATGATAAAACTTATAAAACAGATGCGTGACATTCCGGGTTCAGCTGCGAGGATGAGTAGTCAACAAGAACTCTACTTGACTGTAAAACCACTGACCATGAGGTTGTGTTTAACTGTTCAAAAAGAACAGAATTTCGGGCTAGCTAGATGTCAGCCAGTAATGCGAAACAGAACTCAAGCTTGGGAGAATAGAGATTGAGAAGCAAAGCACGAGACCAAAGGTCACTTTGAGGTCGTTGTAGAGTCTGAATCTTGTTGTATAAACCAGAAATTCTGAATACTTGAACAGCAAAGAGACACCTGAAAAAGAGATGGTTGTTACAGTCATCATCCTGGCTGCATAGCAGGCAGTGACATCAACTTCTATTTGCTTGGCGACCCGTAAATAAAGGTAATATAATAGAATCATAATTACATAGGGGAAGTAGGGTAAAGTTGAGTTTTTTTTTCTTGATAATTTGTTAAAAAGCTCATTATTAAGTATTAAATTTGTCCATAAAATAATAATTATTAATGTATAAATAACATAATAATGGCTATGATAAATTTTTTTGGCCCAACGCTACTAATCATCATGGAGTTTTTAAGGTATATTTCGTGGTCAACGGGAATTTCTGCTACTCTGGAGATAAGTATAGAACGTGCTAGAAATGGGCTGATCAATTAATTGAGCCGTTTGTTTTCCAGGCCCACATTCTTTTTTGGTTCGAAATGGTTTCGGGTCTCTATTCTCACGAAAAGAAACTCTTACACAGACAATGTTCTTATAGTTTTGTTTACATCACATTTTTTGCCATAAGATAGCCAAAAATACAGAAATCGGGAGGGAAAAAAAATCAAAATTTCAACAACACTATCATGGTATAGTAAATATGAGATGTACCTAGAATACCTTGAATTCCATGCCTTATGTTTATATCAGATTCATAATTAGCCTTCCTTAATAAAAAACTAGATGCTTGGCCCGGGCGATGCCCGACCGGCCCTATTTTTTAACTTTGATATGTATTTTGACTTACAAATAGTTTATTAAATATACTATAAGTTTAATTTATGTAATCATGTAAATGATTGAATTTCGATTACAATAGTACGAATTATGAATAGTTATGAAAGACATTGTTATTACATATTATTGCTATTTTTGAAACATTTAAAATTATAGGTCATCAATTTTGTATTGATATAAAATGGTTGTGACAATTATAGAGTAATTGTATAAAATATTTACATTTAATTTTTTCAATAATTTGTAAATTAAGGAAATTATATATTTGTGGTTTAATATTCTCTAACATATGAAAGGCCCAAAATTTAAATTCTGTGTGTTTATAATAGTCATTAGATATTCGGGTCCAGGCCTGTTATAATGTGGTACTTAAGAAACCCAAACACAGCCCATTTAATGTCCACACATTCACATACGTTTTTCTTATTTTTTATTTAAAAAAGTGAAATGAAAATATGGTGATATTTTGCCTGACTTGTCATTAAGTTTGCATTTTAACGTTTTCGCGTATTTCACTTCGGAGAAACCGAAGTTCGCCTACTTTCCTCCGTCCCAAAATTGAATCCATACAAAGCACTGCCAAATTTTTTAGCTCTGATTAGGATTTTTGCTCGAATCATTTACATTGCGAATGTGAGATCTGATGTTGTAATTGAAAATGTGTTTGAAATCTGAAGGATTCTCAGATTCTTCATCTAATGGTGTCAGTATGAAGTCCAGCTTAGATCTATCATTAGTGAGCTTAGATCTTGTATGTCGTTGGAAAATCTTCTTGTTTGAGCTAAAATCTGAGTTTCGGCATCAACAGAACTGGATTATTCATTAGAATGCATATGCATTCAATCCGGTTTAGATCTATACGGTAATGTAGCTTATTTAACCTCTTGTTAGCTTCGGAGTTGTTTGAATCGTATGTATGAAACTATCAGTCAAATCCCATTTTTATGATTTGAAGCTTACGGTTCTTTCTTTTTTTTTTTCATTCGTCAATTTTCTGTTGTTCGAGCTGGGATTGGAGCTGCTACTGTTACAACATCAAAGTTATTGTTGTTTTTGGGACGGTCAACGGGAGCTAAAAGTTGTTTGAAATCTGGAGGAATTCAATATTCTTGATCTAATGGTGTCAGTTTGATTTCGAACATCGATCTATCATTAGTGAGCTGTGATTCTGTATGTCGTTCGGAAATCTCCTTATAGATCTAAAATCTCATCTTCGTCATCAACAGATCTGGATTATTCATTAGAATGCATATGCATTCAATCCGGTTTAGATCTATGTGGTAATATAGCTTATTCAACCTCTTATTATTTTCGGATTTATTTGAATTGTAGATATGCAACTATCAGTGAAAGTTTGATTTGATGATTTGAAGCTTACGTTTCTTTTTTTTTTTTCATTGGTCAATTTTCTAGTGTTTGAGCTGGGATTGGAGCTGCTACTGTTTCTACAATGTTGTTATCGATGTTTTTGGGACGGTCAACGGGAATATAAAACTCAAACATCTAATAAAGGTGAGATAGTTTCTTCAAATCAAACTTTTTTGTTATTACAATTTCAGATGGAAAAAAAAAAACTTCATTGCAAAGATTTCCTGGTTTTTGGTGGCTTGTTTTTGGTTACCAGTATTTGCATCTAACAAAGATTTGTGGTTACTTCACATCAAGGTTTATGGTTTTTGGTTAACCAGAAACCAAAATTTGCAATCTTTTGTATAAAAATACAAATGAATTTTGAGGTTTAAATAGTTTATTTAGTGCTGGAAATTATTAGGTCATGAACATGCATCATAATAATTCTATGCAAAAACAGAATGCCAACTAGTGTCACATACAAAACTTCTAGGATCAGATATTCCTTAT